GAAAAGTGAATTGAATTGGCTGGCAGAACTAAGCCCTCTCTTGTCTCTGCTCTACAGCTGCTGCGTCCTTCTGGGGCCATCGTAACTTCCGCCGCTAGATACTCTATTTTGCCACAGAAGTGAAAAAAGGCTTCTCCAACATCTCATCGCAACCTGCGGTACGACACTGAAAGCTTTACAGCTCCTGGGTTATTGTATGAACCATGCAGCAGGCTCAGATGCCGTTTTGCTTTGTAGAAGGGATGTATTTGACAAACCACTGAGCTGTGATACAGCAAAGCTCTTTGAGCTGCCCTGATATCGCACCAGAAAGTAAACTTTAATAGAATATTCACTGTCTTTTTTTGGTAAAACAGTCTAGAAAGACTGTAGCACGGAAGGTTGCAGACTGAAAACAAGTATCTGCTCTGAGATGTTGAAAGGGGTACGTGTCCCATCGTTACTCTCCTGTTACTTATGTTAATGTACAGAGGCATTAGTATTAGGGACTGTTGTGTTGTCTACTACATGTACACAAAAAAAGACTGCGGGGCATAATACTGCCTTATTTCCTGATTCGGAGCACCAATATGATAGTGTCATCATATTCTTAACACTTGCACTTCATTTAGTTTCCCTGTTTTCGTTACGGCCAATGTTAGCTACCACAGAAATAATGTTCAATGAAAACTGCTTTACATTCCACCCTCCCCTCAGGTTGATGTAATTCTACTGCATATTTTTCCTCCTATACAGCTAAAAGAAGTAATGTCTGTGATTCAGACAGAAGGAAGGCTAAGACAGTGTCTATGGGAACAGATCCCTGCTGCAGAGTGAAGCCCAGATCTCTTTTCAGAAAACAGTCTCATCTCTGAAAGATGTTGAAAAGAAAAGAGGGAGTTCTCTAGTAGACTCAAAGGACATAAAGATCTAACTGGTAAAGAAAGAACACGGTCTCAATGAAGGATACAGCAAGATCAATAATTTCCCTTAGTTTAAGGAATTTGACATATTTATGGAAAGAAATCAGGCCTAATGTACCTGTTTCTAACTTTGCGAGCTCATTACAGAATGCGAAGCTTAATGCTGATGAAGAGCTGCAGCAGAGCAGATGGGCTGAACGAACCCAACTTGGCCTATTAAGCCTTCTTCCTGTGGCTCTAAACAGGAGCCTACCTTTGGATTTTAAGGAGGCTTTTCTGCCTCTTTGTTGCTGTAACAGACACTCTCCGGCTTCGAAAGGAAATCTGGTTAAGCTGGAATGGCCCTGTCATCAGTAGAAGAGTTGCAGTTACCTAAGAAGGGAAGGACTTACCCCCAGGAGCTGCACTTCTGGTTCCTCTCCATACTTACTAGGCTGAGCAGAGAAAACCCAAAGCAAGATGAATTATCATGTCATAACAAAAGGGTGGTTGTGGGGAGGAGAGGAGAGCGGTTTCTCAAGTGCAAGTTTTATGCTATTGTTCAGAGCAACCCACTCGTCTTGCCCAGGAGGCTGCTTTAGTGCTTTTGTGAACACAACAGGTTCTCCAGCTAAAAATGCAATAAACCGTGTGTTATTTTGAGATGCTGTAATTACCATGGTAAATATCCTCTTTGCCTTTTTCCTTTATTTGCTCTAGGTTCAAAACCTCTCATCTGTGACCACACAAGTGTCAGTTTGCCAGCTGCAGTACTGCAGTATCTGGGTTTGGATCACACTTTACAGAAAACATCAGAAACTGGATCTGTAACCACCTCCTTGACTGACCTGCCGGGCACGGCATGGTCTGGTTCCACTTCTGAGTTTGTCACCAGGGAGTAGTCTGTAGGGACCAGCTCCCAATCAGCCTTCTGTCGGGCCGCTCTGGATGCAATTATTCTTTGATTTACCTTTGAACATGTGGGCTTCGCTCCCCTTTTTCTACATTTAAAATTAGACTTTTCCAGAGCCTGTATTTACAACTTTTCCAGAGGAAATAAGAAGTGTCTTGTTAGATTTGATTTATTAGAAGTTCCATAAGGAAGCTATCACACAATGCAGAGTACATCTCTTGCAGGGAAAATGTAGAGAACTGCAAACAAAACTCAAAATGTCCCAAGAACTAAAGTAACTCTAAATAAACTATTTAATAAAGGAGTGAAGGCCTAGTAATAGGTCCTCTAATGGCAGGGACAAAGCTCCCATTCACAGCACGTCACTGGCCCGGGATCACACCTCAGTCTTTCATTATTAGTTCTGGAGTTGGCAACCTGTCTTAATTTTGACATTAATGACATCACCTATGAAATATATTTCAGTTCTGTCTAAACAATTTACATATATATACACAACACAAAGCAAACAGTTCTACTGAATTTCTCATTATTATATACAGAATATACAGA